TATATATATATATATATATATATATATATATATATATATATATATATATATGTCGAAGAACTGAGTTTTCTATTTTCTTCAAGTTCATAATACGGATAGGAAACTAGACAAAGAAGGAGGTTGAGATATTGTGAATCATAGCATGGGGGTTAGAAATCCTACTGTAATAGTCGAGTAAAATGTATAATACTTGAATTTCAGTAACACGTTTCGTTTCAGTTGAGTGACGAAATTTTGGGTATGTTTGACCCATTAGTCGCGGAACGAGTAATCCCTGCTTCTCCAATTGTCGCAGCTTCATCGGTCTCGAACTCTGATCCTGTCAGCGCAGTTCTAAGAAATGCGGCTTTTGCGGAGTAAGTAAATCCTTCTTCTGAAGACTCTGTCTCCATGTTTTCAAAATAAAATAAACTTGTGAGGGTTTTATCATGTTAAATTATGAGGATGAAAGTTTATAGGTAGAACAAATTATCAAATTATAATGACTTTGGATTAGTATAGATGACGTTTGAATTGCCATTCATGCATTGCTGCTATGCATTTCTATATATTTCTTCAGCTGCTGCATGATGTAGCGTTCGTTCAACTTCAAAACATAGTTTCTGATTTTATGATTGACAATTTTATGATACATATATTTTTAAAAACGAAAAAACTCGAAATTCTTTCTGAAAAAACTTGAAATCCGTAGTGAAACTTCTTTTTAAATCAATTACTGGTAAGATTAACTGTATTTTTTTCAGTAGACGACGATGTGCAATAAAACTGCAACGATACAATAATAATATTGAAAAAGCTGTGAATGAATTGAAAATTGAAGAGCTGTTATCAATGGGTGTAGCGCAAGATAGAGGTCAAGCAGTCAGTGCGTTAGAAGACTGCCGATGGGATCTTAATGCGGCAGCAGCAGCGTTAATATCTTAATATACTGCATAATTGCGAGACACTGTTATCTTGGAACGGATTTTAGAGACTTCGATCTTGTGTAACCTGAGACTTATTTATGAAATTATATAATGTTTTGAAGAGCTTTCATTATATGGTCATTTGTTTTTCATGACAGAGCTATGTCAAGTATAATTACTCCAGATCTAATTTTTTTTTTTTTTTTAATACTTATTCTCTGTTTGTTATAATGCGCAGTATAAGTTACCATTCATTATCTGATGGATCTTAATTCTTTCATTTTCATCTGTTTAACTTTTGCCTTATTCAAGTTTTGTTTTAGGAAATCTAAAATTTTTCCCGCAGAATTTTATTTATAAAGATTATATATACCAGTTGCATTATCGACGAGTAACTTGTTTTCAATATTCAGGACACAGTGAAACCTGATTAGAATCAATTTAGGGAGAATGAGCTTTTAGTGATTTGTGGAAATCTTGAAAAGAGGAATCACTGAAGCGGGGAAAAAAAGCTCAATTTTCATTAGCTCAGTATAATTTTTGCGAGGATCCCTTTGATAGTTTCTGTTTCTGCGCTAATCATTCTTCCCCATTGCGTCATATTTTTACCCTAAATCGTTTGAAAGTATAATTCACTTTTCAGTTATTCAGTGCTTCTCGTTTTGTGATTAGCTATTTTGTTTTTAGTAGCTTTTACTCTGTTTCCGTGTATTTGTTCCAGTTTGCTGATCGTTTGCTGTTTTTATTACGTATCACTTTACTACTTTCATGCTTAACTGTAATATAATAGGCAACTAGATAGGTTGATTTTTAAGTTGCATGTTTCTCTTTCGTTATTCTTCGGTCTTTCGTAATATGAGATTATAAAGTAGCGAAAACCGAATGATCTCTAATCTATGTTTAAATTTTAGAAAACTACAAATTAAATTTAGATTTTGATAATCGTTCGTTTTTCTGAACAGTCAAAAAATTTACCGGTGACCGGTACAGAATGTTGCAATACGTTATGCTATAATGCATATATCAACGTATTATAAGAATACGTTTTGTCGATATTGAAAGTTGTTATTAATCTCATTTGACGGGTAGGGCAATGAGCAATCTGTTAGTGTAGTTCTAAATGAGATCATGTACCAACTATTTAACCATTGCAGCATTTTTTTCAATATTTCATTTGTACCTAAATTACCTAATCTACTTAATCTCTTCTCATTGCTTTATTGTTAACGTGTCGAAATAGTGACCTTCGATTTCATTACTCTCTTTTCATTCTTCCTATTTTATCATTTTTGTATATTCCCTAATTTGTTTGTTAGTATATTTGTTCCATTAAGGATAGTTGTTCGATTATTAGTGCAAAACATCGTCCGCAGATTCTTCACAGTCTTGGTCGCATAAGCAAACTGTTAGATCGTTTTTCTTTAAATCACGATTTAGCTAAGCATATTCAATGAATTGGCAAATTAAAAAAACATAACTATATCTTGTTTGTCTCTTTAAAACTTCAAGTGTTATCAACTTATCTTGCTTTGCCATTAACTGTAATTCCCAGGCTGAATTCTCTCAAAGGTTACTATCGCTGTGTATTGAAAGATGCACCACTCTATTCATACAAGTTTTTCATTTTGTCTTTGACTTTTTTGATTCACTTATAAACCATAATGATAGGGTATAAATTGTGTGGCACATTTCATTGGGGTGAACTTTGCAACTTTTTTCTTGTATAAATTTCCTTTATTTCAGTTAGGTACATATGTAGTTTGTAATCGGTTAATCAATACGTAAGTAATATAAAAATTACAAACTTAATTGGTAAATTTGCAAAATATATCAGAAATGGGTAAAAATACTATGCTAATCAACGGTAAAAGATTCCGTATGATCAATAGCTTGTTTCCCAAAAATAAGGCAGGGTCTTATTCCCTCTCTACCCCAAAAACAAAAAAAAGACGTACTAGAGCTTATTTTCAGGGAATGTCATATTTCGGGGACACGGTAAGTCTGGAGGCTCGGTCGAGGTCAGCCGGCGCTTTCTGTGGCTGTGAAAAGGGAGCGGCGGTGAGGTCGAGAAATATCCAGCGCTGAATGGGATGTGGGTCCGAGGCATCATTCATGGCTTGGCGTGGCTGCAAGGAGTGCCGGCGCTGGTGCTCCGTGCGGCTGCAGCAAGGCCGAATTAGGTCTTATTTTCAGAGGATGATTTATTTTCGGTGAAAAGTGATAGTAGACTTTGTGTTGTAAACTGTTCCTGGATGTATCAAAGCTTACGTACCACCCATAATGTGACAGTAGTTTCTGAGGAGCATGTATGGATGTGATTTGTTAGCAAAATAGTACCACCAGCCAGTGTCAAAACTATCATTTGCAAAGGATAGAGCTAAATTCGAGCTATTCCGGTTCTGTTTTATGTCAGCATTTGAAATGAACTATATCAGAGTTTCGGGTTGCTTTGTTTAATTTTTTCTGATGACATGTCACCATAAAATTGTCAACGGATGAATTATTCAAATTACATCTTTATGAGAGTTAAATAATCGTAATAGATAATGCCAATGATACATATTTGAAAACAAAGCCTGATATAACTGATAATTCTCTTTGAGACAACGAACCTGTTGGAGAGTGATGTTCTGTTGGGGACAATGTTTGTAGAGTGTATCTTTGTAAAATTGCAATGAATATGAGAAGTTGAAATAGGGGACGATCAAAAGTAAAGCAAGTTAATAATTCAATCACCATCTTTATTAATTGTTTACATATTTTCATAATTTGAATATCAAGATATGAAAATTTCAAAAAAAATTTTTTTTCCTTACTTATTTCTCTTTATTTTAATGAGAAATAAAAAGTAAATTCACTGTTCTTCCTCTTTTCTGTTTTACTAAATTTTTTTCTTTTTTATTTAATTATTAGTTTTTGTTTTTATTTTGGGCAAAAAAAGAAGGAAAAAAAAGGAAACAGTTGTTGACATCATTGTGACAATATTTTATTTTCAAGGTTGGTGGTTTCATTACTTTCTTCTCTAGCATTTTCATTTTGAAATTTATTAAAAAGAAAGGGAAAAGTGAAATGTTAAGCGAAATTTTTGTTACTCATCCTGAAATTGTTGTTTAAATTGATATAAAATTTGTCATATATCCTTAATTAAAAAAAAAATAAATTTTACACGTAAATTACCAAATGTTGCATGTTAGCATTATTAAATGTTTTATATAAATATTAATTGGTAAATGAAAGACAAAAAAATGGATTTAAAATTTTATTAAACAAATATTATCAGAAAAAAAATTTCAGCACATAACTTTGACATTTTGTTTTAAGTAATTTTTAAGAGTAATAATTTAAATGGTAATTAAAATTTATATTTGTCAAAAACTTTGTTAACTTTTCTAAATATTTTACTATGTATTTTTTTTTTGCTTTTTTAAATACTAATAATATTTGAAATTTTTTCGAGCATTTTCATTGTTTTGTTGTTAATTAAGGAGAAATAAAAAAGAAGATAATTAATGAAGTATTCTTCATTATATAATTAAAGATAATTAATGAAGTATTCTTCATTATATAACTAAAGATAATTAATGAAGTATTCTTCATTATACAATTAAAGGTAATTAATGAAGTATTCTTCATTATATAATTAAAGATAATTAATGAAGTATTCTTCAATATATAATGTTACCTTAAATTGTAATATGTAAAAAGTATTATTATATGTTATTAAATTGCAATTTGATAGTCTATTAATTCATTTTCTATTTCCATCCATTAATTTTTTCAATTTTATATTTATCTAATTTTTAATTGTGCTTCTGTCAATTTTTCTTTTTTTTTTTTGTTTATCATTTTATCATATCAGTAGTAGGTGGTGCAAATTTCTTTTGATATATCAACAATCTTTTAATTTACGATTTCAACATGAACAAATTCATTAGTCCATTCATTCTCTTGTTTATACAAAAATTATTTCTTTAGATATTTTTTATTAATTAAAAATAATTTTTGCAAAAAATAAAAAATAAAAAAGTTAAAAAAGGGTATTGTATTATTTTTATATTAATTACTTACTACTACTACTGCAATATCCTATAATAGTATAGTGAAGAGCAGAAGAATGGA